AACTATGACCATCCCACCAACTAACTATGACCATCCCACCAACCAACTATCCATCCCACCAACTAACTAAGACCATCCCACCAACCAACTATGACCATCCCACCAACTAACTATGACCATCCCACCAACTAACCATGACCATCCCACCAGCTAACCAGACCATCCCACCAGCCAACCATGACCATCCCACCAGCTAACTATGACCATCCCACCAACCAACTATGACCATCCCACCAACCAACCATGACCATCCCAACCAACAAACAAACATCCCACCAACCAACTATGACCATCCCACCAACTAACAACAAACATCCCACCAGCCAACCAGACCATCCCACCAGCCAACTATGACCATCCCACCAACCAACTATGACCATCCCACCAACTAACAACAAACATCCCACCAACTAACTATGACCATCCCACCAGCTAACTATGACCATCCCACCAACTAACTATGACCATCCCACCAACCAACAAACAACACATCCCACCAACTAACTATGACCATCCCACCAACCAACAACAAACATCCCACCAACTAACTATGACCATCCCACCAACCAACTATGACCATCCCACCAACTAACCATGACCATCCCACCAACCAACAACAAACATCCCACCAACCAACTATGACCATCCCAACCAACCAACCAGCACCATCCCACCAACTAACCATGACCATCCCACCAACCAACCAGACCATCCCACCAGCCAACTATGACCATCCCACCAACCAACAAACAAACATCCCACCAACCAACAACAAACATCCCACCAACTAACTATGACCATCCCACCAGCTAACTATGACCATCCCACCAACCAACAACAAACATCCCACCAACTAACTATGACCATCCCACCAGCCAACTATGACCATCCCACCAGCCAACTAAGACCATCCCACCAACCAACTACATGACCATCCCACCAACTAACTAAGACCATCCCACCAACCAACTATGACCATCCCACCAGCCAACTATGACCATCCCACCAACCAACTAAGACCATCCCACCAGCCAACTATGACCATCCCACCAACCAACTATGACCATCCCACCAACTAACTATGACCATCCCACCAGCTAACTATGACCATCCCACCAACTAACTATGACCATCCCACCAATAACTATGACCATCCCACCAACTAACTATGAACATCCCACCAGCTAACTATGACCATCCCACCAACTAACCATGACCATCCCACCAGCTAACTATGACCATCACAACTAACTATAACCATCCACCAACTAACTAATGACCATCCCACCAACTCAACAACAAACATCACCAACTAACTGATGCATCACCAACTAACTTTAACCATCCACCAACTAACTATGCAACATTCCACCAACCAACTATGACCATCCCCAACTAACAACAAACATCCCACCAACTAACCCATGACCATCCCACCAGCTACTCTGACCATCCCACCAACTAACAACAAACATCCCACCAACCAACTACGACTATCCCACCAGCCAACATGACCATCCACCAGCTAACTATGACCATCACCAACCTAACAACAACATCACCAACTAACTATGACCATCCACAATAACTATGAACTCAACCAACCCCCAGCTAACTTTGACCATCCCACCAACTAACTATGACCATCCCACCAACTAACTATGACCATCTCACCAACTAACTATGACCATCCCACCAACTATGACCATCCCACCAGCCAACTATGACCCACCCCACCAGCTAACTATGACCATCCCACCAACTAACTATGACCATCCCACCAACCAACTATGACCATCCCACCAACTAACTATGACCATCCCACCAACTAACTATGACCATCTCCACCAACTATGATATCTCACAACTATGACCATCCCACCAGCTAACTATGACCATCCCACCAGCTAACTTCTGACCATCCCACCAGCTAACTATGACTATTCTTACAGGAAAATGATACAACTGTTCCAACTTGTATAATGATGAACCTGACAGACTGTGGGGACTACTTGTACAATGGCGTCTGCTCTAAGAAGAACTGGGTCTCTGAATCTATACTTCAAGACACTGATTCAGGTAAGTGGGTAGAGTGGGTGGGTGGGTTGTTGGGTGGTGGGTGGAGGTGGGTTGTGGTGTGGGTGGGGTTGGTGGGGTGGGTGGGTGGAGTCGGGTGGGGTGGTTGGGCTGGTGGAGTGGTGGGAGGTGTGAGTGGGTGGGTCAGGTGGGTTGTGGGTGGGCTTGTGGGTAGGTGTTACTATCACTGTTCACCTACATGTCCCCAAAGCTAACCTAACTTAATTTAAACTCAGCTAACTTTAACTAATCTCACCAAACTTAAGCTAACCTAAGCTAATTAACTTTACTTAACCTGACCTGACCTCTAGACATCAACAATTAATGACCTCACCAACTCCCCCACCATTAAACCCGACCCTAGTTCCCCCACACCATTAAACGACCCTAGTTCCACACCATTAAACTTATTTACACCATAAACTTGACCCCTAGTTACCCCCACACCATTAAACTTGACCCCTAGTTACTCCCACACTATTAAACTTGACTAGTTACCCCACACCATTAAACTTGACCCTATTACCCCCACACCATTAAACCCGACCCTAGTTACCCCACACCATTAAACTTGATCCTAGTTACCCCCACACCATTAAACTTGACCCCTAATTACCCCCACACCATAACACTTCAGTTACCCCCACACCATTAAACTTGACCCCTAGTTGCCCCACACCATTAAACCCGACCCTAGTTACCCCACACCATATCTGGCCCTAGTTACCCCCACACTATTAAACTTGACCCTAATTACCCCCACACCATTAAACTTGACCCCTAGTTACCCCCACACCATTAAACTTGACCCTAGTTACCCCCACACCATTAAACGGCCCCTAGTTACCACACCATTAAACTTGACCCTAATTACCTACACCATTAAACTTGACCCCTAATTATCCCACACCATTAAACTTGACCCCTATTTACCCCACACCATTAATCTTGACCCCTAGTTACCCCCCCACAGGTCTGTACCAGGTGAGAGCGAATCCAGAGACAGCTTCCATGGATGTAATCGGCTTCACCCCAGGGACTCGGGATCAGGTACAAGTGACGTATGCATCCCACTGTTGTAACACCGAGGTTGAGGTGATTGGTGTCGATGGTCAAGGTAACGTGGGCAAGTGTTTGATCAACATGGACTGCAAGGTGAGTGGGTCAATGTTATCTATCAACCAGGGCCATTAGATATTCACCAGGGCCACTAGATATTCACCAGGGCCATTAGATATTCACCAGGGCCACTAGATAATCACCAGGCCACTAGATATTCACAGGGCCATTAAATATTCACCAGGGCACTAGATATTTACCAGGGCACTAGATATTCAGGGCCACTAGATATTCACCAGGGCCACTAGATATACCAGGGCCACTAGATATTCACCAGGGCCACTAGATATTTACCAGGGCCACTAGATATCCACCAGGGCCACTAGATATTCACCAGGGCCATTAAGTATTCACCAGGGCCACTAGATATTCACTAGGGCCACTAGATATCCACCAGGACCTTATCTATCCCATATCTATCCACCAGGACCACTATCTATCCCATATCTATCCACCAGGACCACTATCTAACCCATATCTATCCCCAGGACCACTCATCCCATATCTATCCACCAGGACACTATCCCAACCCATATCTATCCACTAGGACCACTATCTATCCCATATCTATCCACCAGGACCACTAACTATCCACCAGGACCACTAACTATCCACCAGGGCCACTAACTATCCACCAGGACCACTATCTATCATATCTATCCACCAGGACCACTATCTATCCCATACCTATCCACCAGGACCACTAATATCCACCAGGGCCACTAACTATCCACCAGGGCCACTAACTATCCAGGACCACTATCTATCCATATCTATCCACCAGGACCTCTATCTATCCCATATCTATCCACCAGGACCACTATCTATCCCATATCTATCCTAGGACCACTATCTATCCCATATCTATCCACCAGGACCACTATCTATCCCATATCTATCCACCAGGACCACTAACTACTATCCACCAGGGCCACTAACTATCCACCAGGGCCACTCAACATCCACCAGGACCACTATCTATCCATATCTATCCACACCAGGACCACTATCTATCCCATATCTATCCACCAGGACACTTCTCTACATCATATCTATCACCAGGACCACTATCTATCCCATATCTATCCACCAGGACCACTATCTATCCCATATCTATCCACCGGTACTAACTATCCACCAGGCCACTAACTTATCCACCAGGACCACTAACTATCCACCACAGGACCACTATCTATCCCCATATCTATCCACAGGTCCTCATCTATGGCAGGATCCAGTGTAATAAATGCATGTTGTTGAAGAGTGCCCCAGAACAAAAGAGTATACGCCATCAATATAGTGCTTTCAACTTTCGTAAATTTGCTGTCGGAAAGAACGGATTATGAAACTGTTTGTTGTGCTGTTCATCCAATACTTCGTATATACAACACAACCAGTATCTACAACTCTACACCCTACAACCAGTATCTACAACATAACCAGTATCACCACAACACCACTACAACCAGTATCTACAACATAACCAGTATCTACAACACCACTACAACCAGTATCTACAACTCTACAACACCCCTACAACCAGTATTTCAACATAACCAGTATCTACAACTCTACAACACCCTACAACACAACCAGTATCTACAACACCCCTACATGCCATTACCCACAACCATTCCATATATTCTAGTTTATTTTACTTAGTTATTTTTTCTTCACTTTATTTACTCGTGTTTTCCCTCTGTGTTTTGTGTTACTCGTTTTAAAATATTTGGACCATTTGATGTAAAATTTTACTGTCAACTCTGTATTCATAACTTGCGTTCAATAAAATATCTAGTTATCTATCTATCTATCCCATATCTATCCACCAGGACCACTAACTAGCCACTAGGGTCACTATCTATCCCATATCTATCCACCAGGACCACTAACTAGCCACTAGGGCCACTATTTATCCCATATCTATCCACCAGGACCACTAACTAGCCACTAGGGCCACTATTTATCCCATATCTATCCATCAGGACCACTAACTATCCCCTACACACCCACCAGGACCACTATGTATCCACCAGCACCACTAAACTATCCACCAGGGCCACTATCTATCCACCAGCACCACTAAAATATCCACCAGCACCACTAAACTATCCACCAGCACCACTAAACTATCCACCAGGACCACTAACTATCCCCTACACACCCACCAGTACCACTAAACTATCCACCAGCACCACTAAACTATCCACCAGCACCATTATCCATCCACAGGGTTAATCTACGACTTCGAGGTGGAGTCAGCAGGGAACACATACTTGGTGCTTCACTGGTACATCACGCCTACGCCTTACCCCATATACCACTACGACCTGCAGATTGACGACTTCTTTCTCCACCAGAGTATATGTGAGGAGGTAAGTGTTGGAGGTAGTGAGGGAGGGAGGGAGGGATGGTGGGTACTGAGGGAGTGAGGAATGGATCTAGGGAGGGGAGGGAAGGGGTAGAGAGGGAGGAAGGGGTAGAAGAGAGGGAGGAAGGGGGGGTAGAAAGAGGGAGGAGGGGTAGAAGAGAGGGAGGAAGGGGTAGAAAGAGAGAGGGAAGAGGTAGAGAGGGAGGAAGGGGGGGAAGAGAGGGAGGAAGGGTAGAGGGAGGGAAGGAGAATAGAAGAGGAAGGAAAGGATGGAGGTCAGTTAAGCTAGGTCAGGTCAGGTCAGATCAAGTCAGGTCAGGTCAAATTAGGCAGGACTAAGAGTACAATATCATCCACTATGAGTACAATATCATCCACTATGAGTACAATATCATCCACTATGAGTACAATATCATACTATGAGTGCAATATCACCCACTATGGGTACAATATCATCCACTAAGAGTACAATATCATCCACTATGAGTACAATATCATCCACTAAAATTACAATATCATCCACTATAAGTACAATATCATCCACTATGAGTACAATATCATCCACTATGGTACAATATCATCCACTGAGTGCAATATCATCCACCAAGAGTATATATCATCCACTAGGAGTACAATATCATCTACTATGAGTACAATATCATCCACCAAGAGTACAATATCATCCACTAAGAGTACAATATCATCCACTGAGTACAATATCATCCACTAAGAGTATTTTATCATCCACTGTAGTACAATATCATCCACTACGAGTACAATATCATCCACTACGGTAATATCATCCACCAAAGCAAATATCATCCACCAGAATTACAATATCATCACTATGGTACAATATCATCCACTAAGAGTACAATATCATCCACCAAGAGTACAATATCATCCACTAAGAGTACAATATCATCCACTATGAGTACAATATCATCCACCAAGAGTACAATATCATCCACTATGAGTACAATATCATCCACCAAGAGTACAATATCATCCACTAAGAGTACAATATCATCCACTAAGAGTACAATATCATCCACAAGAGTACAATATCATCCACTATGAGTACAATATCATCCACCAAAAGTACAACATCATCCACTAAAAGTACAATATCATCCACTATGAGTACAATATCATCCACTATGAGTACAATATCATCCACTAAAGTACAATATCATCCACTAAGAGTACAATATCATCCACTATAAGTACAATATCATCCACTTGGAGTACAATATCATCACTAAGTACACTATCATCCACTAAGAGTACAATATCATCCACTATGAGTACAATATCATCCACCAAAAGTACAATATCATCCACTAAGAGTACAATATCATCCACTATGAGTACAATATCATCCACCAAGAGTACAATATCCACCAAGAGTACAATATCATCCACTAAAAGTACAATATCATCCACTATGAGTACAATATCATCCACTAAGAGTACAATATCATCCACTATGAGTACAATATCATCCACTATGAGTACAATATCATCCACTATGAGTACAATATCATCCACTATGAGTACAATATCATCCACTAAGAGTACAATATCATCCACTATGAGTACAATATCATCCACTATGAGTACAATATCATCCACTATGAGTACAATATCATCCACTATGAGTACAATATCATCCACTATGAGTACAATCCTCGTCACCAACAGGAATTCTGCCAGGAATACGTTAACTACCTGGAGCCTTGTAAACTTCACACCTTCAGCATTGTTCCCACATTTAATTACCACGGGGAGCAGATGGCTGGCCTGGGCGCTTACACCAAAGGTTACACGCTGTTTCAAGGTATGTGGGGGTGTTGTAGATACTGGTTGTAGGGGTGTTGTAGATACTGGTTAGGGGTGTTGTAGATACTGGTTGTAAGGGGTGTTGTAGATGCTGGTTGTAGGGGTGTTGTAGATACTGGTTGTGTGTTGTAGATACTGGTTGTAGGGTGTTGTAGATACTGGTTGTAGGGGTGTTGTAGATACTGGTTGTAGGGGTGTTGTAGATACTGGTTGTAGGGGTGTTGTAGATACTGGTTGTAGGGTGTTGTAGATACTGGTTGTAGGGGTGTTGTAGATACTGGTTGTAGGGGTGTTGTAGATGCTGGTTGTAGGGTGTTGTAGATACTGGTTGCGTTTTGTAGATACTGGTTGTAGGGGTGTTGTAGATACTGGTTGTGAGGTGTTGTAGATACTGGTTGTAGGGGTGTTGTAGATACTGGTTGTAGGGGTGTTGTAGATACTGGTTGTAGGGGTGTTGTAGATACTGGTTGTAGGGGTGTTGTAGATACTGGTTGTAGGGGTGTTGTAGATACTGGTTGTAGGGGTGTTGTAGATACTGGTTGTAGGGTGTTGTAGATACTGGTTGTAGGGGTGTTGTAGATACTGGTTGTAGGGGTGTTGTAGATACTGGTTGTAGGGGTGTGTGGAGATACTGGTTGTAGGGGTGTTGTAGATACTGGTTGTAGGGGTGTTGTAGATACTGGTTGTAGGGTGTTGTAGATACTGGTTGTAGGGTGTTGTAGATACTGGTTGTAGGGGTGTTGTAGATACTGGTTGTAGAGGTGTTGTAGATACTGGTTGTAGGGGTGTTGTAGATACTGGTTGTAGGGTGTTGTAGTACTGGTTGTAGAGGGTGTTGTAGATACTGGTTGTAGGGGTGTTGTAGATACTGGTTGTAGGGTGTTGTAGATACTGGTTTAGAGGGTGTTGTGTAGATACTGGTTGTAGGGGTGTTGTAGATACTGGTTGTAGGGGTGTTGTAGATACTGGTTGTAGGGGTGTTGTAGATACTGGTTGTAGGGGTGTTGTAGATACTGGTTGTAGGGGTGTTGTAGATACTGTTTGTAGGGGTGTTGTAGATACGGTTGTAGGGGTGTTGTAGATACTCGGTTGTAAGGGGTGTTGTAGATACTGGTTGTAGGGGTGTTGTAGATACTGGTTGTAGAGGGTGTTGTAGATACTGGTTGTAGGTGTGTTGTAGATACCGGTTGTAGGGGTGTTGTAGATACTGGTTGTAGGGGTGTTGTAGATACTGGTTGTAGGGTGTTGTAGATACTGGTTGTAGGGGTGTTGTAGATACTGGTTGTAGGTGTTGTAGATACTGGTTGTAGGGGTGTTGTAGATACTGGTTGTAGGGGTGTTGTAGATGCTGGTTGTAGGGGTGTTGTAGATACTGGTTGTAGGGGTGTTGTAGATACTGGTTGTAGGGGTGTGTAGATACTGGTTGTAGGTGTGTTGTAGATAACTGGTTGTAGGGGTGTTATGGATACTGGGTGTAGGTGTGTTGTAGATACTGGTTGTAGGGGTGTTGTAGATACTGGTTGTAGGGGTGTTGTAGATACTGGTTGTAGGGGTGTGTAGATACTGGTTGTAGGTGTGTTGTAGATACTGGTTGTAGGGGTGTTGTAGATACTGGTTGTAGGGTGTTGTAGATACTGGTTGTAGGTGTGTTGTAGATACTGGTTGTAGGGGTGTTATGGATACTGGTTGTAGGGTGTTGTAGATACTGGTTGTGTTGTAGGTGTGTACTGTGTAAGAGGTTGTGACAAGTGTTGGAGATAATGCCTAGTGTTGGAGATAGTGGTTAATGTTGAGATAATCCTAGTGTTGGAGATAGTGGTTAATGTAGTAATGCCTAGTGTTGGAGATAGTGGTTAATGTTGGAGATAATGCCAGTGTTGGAGATAGTGGTTAATGTTGGAGTGGCAATGTTGGAGATAGTGGTTAATGTTGGAGATGGTTAATGTTGGAGATAATACCTAGTGTTGGAATAGTGGTTGTGTTGAATCCACGTGTTGGAGATAGTGGTTAATGTTGGAGATAAACCTAGTGTTGGAGATAGTGGTTAATGTTGGAGATAATACCTAGTGTTGGGATAGTGGTTAATGTTGGAGATAATACCAGTGTTGGAGATATTGGTTATGTTGAGATAATACCGTGTTGGAATAGTGGTTATGTTGGAATAATACCAGGTTGAGATAGTGTTAATGTTGGAATAATACCAAGTGTTGGAGATAGTGGTTAATGTTGGAGATAATACCAAGTGTTGGAGATAGTGGTTAATGTTGGAATAATACCAAGGTTGGAGATAGTGGTTAATGTGGAGATAATACCAGTGTTGGATAGTGTTAATTTGACAATACCAGTGTTGGAGATAGTGGTTAATGTTGAGATAATACCAAGTGTTGGAGATAGTGGTTAATGTTGGAATAATACCAAGTGTTGGAGATAGTGGTTAATGTTGGAGATAATACCAAGTGTTGGAGATAGTGTTATGCGGAGATAATACCAGGAGATATGGTTAATGTGAGATAATACCTTATGTTGAGATAGTGGTTAATGTTGAGATAATACCAAGTGGGAGTTGTGGTTAATGTTGAAGATAATACCAAGTGTTGGAGATAGTGGTTAATGTTGGAGATAATACCAAGTGTTGGAGATAGTGGTTAATGTTGGAGATAATACCTAGTGTTGGAGATAGTGGTTAATGTTGGAATAATACCAAGTGTTGGAGATAGTGGTTAATGTTGGAGATAATACAGTGTTGAGATAGTGGTTAATGCTGGAGATAATACCTAGTGTTGGAGATAGTGGTTAATGTTGGAGTAATACCTAGTGTCGGAGATAATGCTGAGTGTTGGAGATAGTGGTTAATGTTGAGATAATACCTAGTGTTGAGATAGTGGTTAATGTTGGAATATGCAAGTGTTGGAGATATTGGTTAATGTTGGAGATAATACCTAGTGTTGGAGATAGTGGTTAATGTTGGAGATAGTGGTTAATGTTGGAGATAATACCTAGTGTGGAGATAGTGGTTAATGTTGGAATACAAGTGTTGGAGATAGTGGTTAATGTTGGAGATAATCCTGATGGTGGAGATAGTGGTTAATGTTGGAGATAATACCAAGTGTTGGAATAGTGGTTAATGTTGGAATAATACCTAGTGTTAGAGATAGTGGTTAATGTTGGAGATAATACCAAGTGTTGGAGATAGTGGTTAATGTTGGAGATAATACCTAGTGTTGGAGATAGTGGTTAATGTTGAGAATAATACCTAGTGTTGGAGATAATGCCTAGTGTTGGAGATAGTGGTTAATGTTGGAGATAATACCTAGTGTTGGAGATAGTGGTTAATGTTGGAATAATACCAAGTGTTGGAGATAGTGGTTAATGTTGGAATATACCTAGTGTTGGAGATAGTGGTTGTGAGATAATACCAGTGTGGAATAGTGGTTAATGTTGGAGATAATACCTAGTGTTGGAGATAGTGGTTAATGTTGGAGATAATACCTAGTGTTGGAGATAGTGGTTAATGTTGGAGATAATACCTAGTGTTGGAGATAGTGGTTAATGTTGGAGATAATACCTAGTGTTGGAGATAGTGGTTAATGTTGGAGATAATACCAAGTGTTGGAGATAGTGGTTAATGTTGGAGATAATACCTAGTGTTGGAGATAGTGGTTAATGTTGGAGATAATCCAAGTGTTGGAGATAGTGGTTAATGTTGGAGATAATACCAGTGTTGGAGATAGTGGTTAATGTGGAATAATATAGTGTTGGAGATAGTGGTTAATGTTGGAGATAATACCTAGTGTTGGAGATAGTGGTTAATGTTGGAGATAATACCTAGTGTTGGAGATAGTGGTTAATGTTGGAGATAATACCAGTGTTGGAGATAGTGGTTAATGTTGGAGATAATACCTAGTGTTGGAGATAGTGGTTAATGTTGGAGATAATACCCAGTGTTGGAGATAGTGGTTAATGTTGAGATATACCTAGTGTTGGAGATAGTGGTTAATGTTGGAGATGAGTAGTTAATGTTGGAGATAATGCCTAGTGTTGGAGATAGTGGTTAATGTTGGAGATAATACCAAGTGTTGGAGATAATGGTTAATGTTGGAATAGTGGTTAATGTTGGAGATAATACCTAGTGTTGGAGATAGTGGTTAATGTTGGAATAGTAGTGGTTGGAGATAATACCTAGTGTTGGAGATAGTGTAATAGATATAAGTTGGAGATAATACCTAGTGTTGGAGATAGTGGTTAATGCTGGAGATAATACCTAGTGTTGGAGATAGTGGTTAATGTTGGAATTAATCCGTGTTGGAGATGGTGGTTAATGTTGGAGATAATACCTAGTGTTGGAGATAGTGGTTATGTTGGAGATAATACCCAGTGTTGGAGATAGTGGTTAATGTTGGAGATAATACCTAGTGTTGGAGATAGTGGTTAATGTTGGAGATAATACAGTGTTGGAGATAGTGGTTAATGTTGGAGATAATACCTAGTGTTGGAGATAGTGGTTAATGTTGGAGATAATACCTAGTGTGGAGATAGTGGTTAATGTTGGAGATAATACCTAGTGTTGGAGATAATACCTAGTGTTGGAGATAGTGGTTAATGTTGGAGATAATACCTAGTGTTGGAGATAGTGGTTAATGTTGGAGATAATACCTAGTGTTGGAGATAGTGGTTAATGTTGGAGATAATACCAAGTGTTGGAGATAGTGGTTAATGTTGGAGATAATACCTAGTGTTGGAGATAGTGGCTAATGTTGGAGATAATACCTAGTGTTGGAGATAGTGGTTAATGTTGGAGATAGTGGTTAATGTTGGAGATAATACCAAGTGTTGGAGATAGTGGTTAATGTTGGAGATAATACCAAGTGTTGGAGATAGTGGTTAATGTTGGAGATAATACCTAGTGTTGGAGATAGTGGTTAATGTTGGAGATAATACCTAGTGTTGGAGATAGTGGTTAATGTTGGAGATAATACCTAGTGTTGGAGATAATACCTAGTGTTGGAGATAACTTGACACTCCTCCACAGACCCCACGACTCCCTACAACGGCACGGAGGTTGACCGCACGGAGACCACGATATCGATCTCCTGGGCCACTAATCACTCATACTGTACCTTCCTCTACCAGGTGTGTAATGGAGACCAACAGGTGTGGTATATGTAGTGTGAGTGATATATATACCCTCTTAACAGGTGTGTAATTGAGATTAGCAGGTGTGTAATGGAGACCAACAGGTGTAGTATACTGTATGTAGTGTTATATACTCTCTAACAGGTGTGTAATGGAGACCAACAGGTGTGTAATGAAGTTTCCTCCACATATATACTTGGGTTTACATATTCATAGCAGATGTGTAATATATATGACTCCTATGTGTAAGAATGATATATCGTTCTTGAGGTGTATAACAAACATATTCAGGTGTGTAAAATGGTCCTCCCTTCAGGTGTGTAACAAACATATTTCTCCTTCAGGTGTTCATATATCCTTCAGGTGTGTAAAATGTCCTCCCTTCAGGTGTGTAACAAACACATTTCTCCTTCAGGTGTTCATATATCCTTCAGGTGTGTAACGAAGCATATCCCTCCCAAGGTGGTAAATGTATCCCTCAGGTGTAAAATGTCCTTCCTTCAGGTGTGTAACAAAAAAATATCCCTCCTACAGGTGTTGTTAATGTATCCTTCAGGTGTGTAAATGGCCTCCTTCAGTTGTGTAACAAAAACATATCCCTCCTACAGGTGTGTGTAAATGTCCTCCTTCAGGTGTGTAACAAAACATATCCCTCTCCTACAGGTGTAAAATGTCCTCCTTCAGGTGTAACAAAATATATCCCCCTACAGGTGTGTAAAATGTCCTCCTTCAGGTGTGTAAAAGGTCCTCCTACAGTAAAATCCCTCCTCAGGTGTGTAAAAGGTCCCTCCTTCAGGTGTGTAAAATGTCCTCCTTCAGGTGTGTAACAAAACATATCCCTCCTACAGGTGTTGTTAATGTATCCTTCAGGTGTGTAACAAAACATATCCCTCCTACAGGTGTGTAAAATGTCCTCCTCCAGGTGTGTAACAAAACATATCCCTCCTACAGGTGTGTAAAATGTCCTCCTACAGGTGTGTAAAATGTCCTCCTACAGGTGTGTAAAATGTCCTCCTTCAGGTGTGTAACAAAACATATCCCTCCTACAGGTGTGTTATTACGAGGTCGACACTGATCCCACCAAGGCCACGTGTGTCACCACTACCGACACCTCCTACACTCTGAACAACCTTGGGGAATGTAAGGCTTATATCATTGATGTTGTGGCCAAGTCTTCAAGTGGAGTTGAGAGCCTTACCCTACAATTCTACTCTGTGACGCTCTGCCCTGATGCTGCCTAGGCTGAAATGATCCTAAAGTCATTGTATGTAGGCCTAGATTATCCTAAAGTCATTGCGTGTAGGCCTAGATAATCCTAAAGTCATTGTGCGAAGGCCTAGATTATCCTAAAGTTATTGTGTCTAGGCCTAGATTATCCTAAAGTCATCGTGTGTAGACCTAGATTATCCTAAAGTCATTGTGTCTAGGCCTAGATTATCCTAAAGTCATTGTGTATAGGCCTAGATTATCCTAAAGGAATCATGCATAGGCCTACACAATCCTAGACCCACTCTATCTATCCCTCAAAGATCATGGTTATCATTATTATTACAATCATGATCATTATTATTATTACTTATAACAGTATTGTATTATTAATAATATTTTAATTACTGTATAAATTATATTTGTATTATCAATTACATTAATCTCTATCAAAATCCTTACTACCATTTATTATATTATTATCATCCTAATTACAGTATAATAATCATCTACCAATACTATCATTATTATTGTTAACACTGCCTGAACTATTATATTTTATCAGCCGTTATTTTCAGTCTACTACTACTACTATTATTATTATTATTATTATTATTATTATTATTATTATTATTATTATTATTATTATTGTTGTTATTATTATTACCATCATTGAAGGGACTTGATCAATAAAATACTTCTTTTAAGTTAAAATCGTCAACTAAACTTCCTTAACACACTACTGTACTATGCACAATTTAATGGTTAAACAAATTCTAAGCAAAATTGGTTAACACGAGTTATTTAAACTGGTTGAAGAAATTAAAATTATATAAAAATAAACATTTTGAGTGACTAATGATAAATTATTTCTTCCCAGAGAGAGAGTCTGTACAGTAATCTCAATTCTATCACAAACTCCTAAAGCATAAGAGCCTCCCACGATGACTTCTGGAGCTGACCCAACCTAGAGAGATGCAGAGCAACAAACAGAGCAACAGACAGATAGAGACAGGTAGCAACAGACAGATAAAACAGAGAGCAACAGACAGATGGCAACAGACAGATAAACAGACAGAGAGCAACAGACAGATAAAGACAGGTAGCAACAGACAGATAAAAGCGAGAGCAACAGACAGGAATCTAAAACAGAAGAGAGCAACAGACAGAAGAAGAGAAAGACAGATAAAAAAAAACACAAGAGCAACAGACAGATAAAACAGAAGAACAGACAGAAACAGAAGCAACAGACAGATAAAACAGAGAGAGCAACAGACAGATAAAACAGAGAGCAACAGACAGATAAAACAGAAGGCAACAGATAAAACAGAGAGAGCAACAGACAGATAAAACAAGACAGATAAAACAGAGAGCAACAGACAGATAAAACAGAGAGAGCAACAGACACATAAAACAGAGAGAGCAACAGACAGATAAAACAGAGAGAGAACAGACAGATAAAACAGAGAGCAACAGACAGATAAAACAGAAGGCAACAGACAGATAAAACAGAGCAACAGACAGATAAAACAGAGAGCAACAGACAGATAAAGACAGGTAGCAACAGACGACAAAGAAGCAAAGACAGATAAAACAGAGAGCAACAGACAGATACAACAGAGGCAACAGACAGATAAAACAGAGAGCAACAGACAGATAAAACAGAGAGAGCAACAGACAGATAAAACAGAAGGCAACAACAGATAAAACAGAGAGCAACAGACAGATAAAACAGGAACGAAGAAAGAGCAACAGACAGATAAAACAGAGAGAACAGACAGATAAAAGAGAGCAACAGACAGATAAAACAGAAGAGCAACAGACAGAAAAACAGAGAGCAACAGACAGATAAAACAGAGAGCAACAGACAGATAAAAGAGAGAGCAACAGACAGATAAAACAGAAGGCAACAGACAGATAAAACAGAGGCAACAGACAGATAAAACAGAGAGCAACAGACAGATAAAACAGAGAGAGCAACAGACAGATAAAACAGAGAGCAACAGACAGATAAAACAGAGAGCAACAGACAATAAAACAGAGAGAGCAACAGACAGATAAAACAGAACAACAGACAGATAAAACAGAGAAGCAACAGACAGATAAAACAGAGAGAGCAACAGACAGATAAAACAGAGAGCAACAGACAGATAAAACAGAGAGCAACAGACAGATAAAACAGAGAGCAACAGACAGATAAAACAGAGAGCAACAGACAGATAAAACAGAGAGCAACAGACAGATAAAAAACAGAGAGCAACAGACAGATAAACAGAGAGCAACAGACAGATAAAACAGAGAGCAACAGACAGATAAAACAGAGAGCAACAGACAGATAAAGACAGGTAGCAACAGACAGATAAAACAGAGGAGAACAGACAGATAAAACAGAAAAAGATAAAACAAGAGCAACAGACAGATAAAACAGAAGGAACAGACAGATAAAACAGAGAGCAACAGACAATAAGACAGAGTAACAGACAGATAAAGACAGGTAGCAACAGACAGATAAAACAGAGACAGCAACAGACAGATAAAACAGAGAAGCAACAGACAGATAAAGACAGGTAGCAACAGACAGATAAAGACAGGTAGCAACAGACAGATAAACAGAAGAGCAACAGACAGATAAAACAGAGAGAGCAACAGACAGATAAAACAGAGAGCAACAGACAGATAAAACAGAGAGCAACAGACAGATAAAACAGAGAGCAACAGACAGATAAAACAGAGAGCAACAGACTGATGAAACAGAGAGAGCAACAGACAGATAAAACAGAGAGAGCAACAGACAGATAAAACAGAGAGAGCAACAGACACATAAAACAGAGAGAGCAACAGACACATAAAACAGAGAGAGTAACAGACAGATAAAACAGAGAGAGCAACAGACAGATAAAAGAGAGAGCAACAGACAGATAAACAGAGAGAAAACAGATAAAACAGAGAGAGCAACAGACACATAAAACAGAGAGAGAGCAACAGACAGATAAAACAGAGAGAGCAACAGACAGATAAAAGAGAGAGCAACAGACAGATAAAACAGAGAGAGCAACAGACAGATAAAACAGAGAGAGCAACAGACAGATAAAACAGAGAGAGAGCAACAGACACATAAAAAGAGAGCAACAGACAGATAAAACAGAGAGAGCAACAGACACAAAAAACAGAGAGAGCAACAGACAGATAAAAACAGAGAGAGCACAGACAGATAAAACAGAGAGAGCAACAGACAGAACAGACAGATAAAGACAGAGTAACAGACAGATAAAGACAGCAACAGACAGATAAAACAGAGAGAGCAACAGACAGATAAAACAGAGAGCAACAGACAGATAAAACAGAGAGAGCAACACAGATAAAACAGAGAGAGCAACAGACAGATAAAACAGAGAGAGCAACAGACACATAAAACAGAGAGAGCAACAGACAGATAAAACAGAAGTAAAAGACAGATAAACAGAGAGAGCAACAGACAGATAAAACAGAGAGAGCAACAGACAGATAAAACAGAGAGAAACAGACAGATAAAGACAGGTAGCAACAGACAGATAAAACAGAGAGCAACAGACAGATAAAAGAGAGAGCAACAGACAGATAAAACAGAGAGAGCAACAGACAGAAAAAAACAGAGAGAGCAACAGACAGATAAAACAGAGAGAGCAACAGACAGATAAAACAGAGAGAGTAACAGACAGATAAACAGAGAGAGCAACAGACAGATAAAACAGAGAGAGCAACAGACAGATAAAGACAGGTAGCAACAGACAGATAAAACAGAGAGAGCAACAGACAGATAAAACAGAGAGCAACAGACAGATAAAACAGAGAGCAACAGACAGATAAAACAGAGAGAGCAACAGATAAAAAACAGAGAGAGTAACAGACAGATAAAACAGAGAGCAACAGACAGATAAAACAGAGAGAGAAAAGACAGATAAAGACAGGTAGCAACAGACAGATAAAACAGAGAGAGCAACAGACAGATAAAACAGAGAGAGCAACAGACAGATAAAACAGAGAGAGCAACAGACAGATAAAGACAGGTAGCAACAGACAGATAAAACAGAGAGTAACAGACAGATAAAACAGAGAGAGTAACAGACAGATAAAACAAGAGACAACAGACAGATAAAGACAGGTAGCAACAGACAGATAAAAACAGAGAGCAACAGACAGATAAAGACAGGTAGCAACAGACAGATAAAACAGAGAGAGCAACAGACAGATAAAGACAGGTAGCAACAGACAGATAAAACAGAGAGAGCAACAGACAGATAAAGACAGGTAGCAACAGACAGAAAACAGAGAGCAACAGACAGATAAACAGAGAGAGTAACAGACAGATAAAACAGAGAGAAAACAGACAGATAAAACAGAGAGAGCAACAGACAGAGCAACAGACAGATAAAACAGAGAGAGCAAACAGAAAAAGAAACAGACAGATAAAACAGAGAGAGCAAAGACAGATAAAACAGGTAGCACAGACAGATAAAACAGAGAGAGCAACAGACAGATAAAAACAGAGAGAGCAACAGACACATAAAACAGAGAGAGCAACAGACAAAAAAAGAGCAACAGACAGATAAAACAGAGAGAGCAACAGACACATAAAAAGAGAGAAAGACAGATAAAACAGAGAGAGCAACAGACAGATAAAAGAGAGAGCAACAGACAGATAAAACAGAGAGAGCAACAGACAGATAAACAGAGAGAGCAACAGACACATAAAACAGAGAGAGCAACAGACAGATAAAACAGAGAGAGCAACAGACAGATAAAACACAGAGAGAGCAACAGACACATAAAACAGAGAGAGCAACAGACAGATAAAGACAGGTAGCAACAGACAGATAAAACAGAGAGAGCAACAGACAGATAAACAGAGAGAGCAACAGACAGATAAAACAGAGAGAGCAACAGACAGATAAAACAGAGAGCAACAGACAGATAAAACAGAGAGAGCAACAGACAGATAAAAACAGAGAGAGCAACAGACAGATAAAACAGAGAGCAACAGACAGATAAAACAGAAAACAACAGATAAAACAAGAGAAACAGAAGATAAAACAGGCAACAGACATAAAGAGACAACAGACAGATAAAACAAAAGCAACAGACACATAAACAAAGAGCAACAGACAGATAAAACAGAAAGAACAACACATAAAACAGAGAGCAACAGACAGATAAAACAGAGAGAGCAACAGACAGATAAAGACAGGTAGCAACAGACAGTACAGGTATACAAACAATATACCTAGACAATACCAACTAAGGACAGCCCAACACACTCATTATACACATCTCAACGACCTCTATAGCAACACCATCGAATCATAACAACGATAACAAAACAGCTGTCTGAATTTCAAGACACAAATAACCTCTTTTGAATCAAATGTGGTCAATACAAGGCAGTCGGTCATCCTAAGTTTGTATTCCATAGGTTAGATTGGTCATGTTA